CTCTGCTGTTATCTGAGAAATTAATTCTGATTTTATTTTTTCCAGATCCTCTTTTGTTGCCAGTTCAGGGAGTCCAGGTGGTTGCATATCAGAGTGTTCCATCTCCTTTCCCTTTGGGGTTGCTTTTTGTGATCTGGAAGTCTGTTTTGGGGACTTGTTTACATGTCTTCTCATTTTGAAGGGGTGGGGGCGTGGGGGTTGGGGTTTGCTGGTGCCTGCACGGCTCACAGGCTCACCTCCTGTGCGCTGAGGGGGTAGGGGGTGGTACTTCGGCTGGAAGATTTCTCCTGGGCCCCAGGAGTGGCTCACCTCCTGTGTGCCGGGGGAGGGGGTGGTACTTTGCCCGGTAGCCTCCTCTTGGACGCTGGGAGTGGCTCACCTCCTGTGCGCTGGGGGAGGGGGTGGTACTTTGACCCGGAAGCCTCCTCTTGGGTGCTGGGAGCGGCTCACCTCCTGTCTCCTGGGATACTTTACCTTGGGTTGGCTGTGAGGTTAATGACCAAAGCCCAGACTTACTGAAATCTGAGAGTGGTCTGGCATCAAGGCCCAACCCAGTACTCTCCTTTAATTTCATTTTAGCTATTACAGGTAACAATAAACAAGGGATTGGATAGTTCACCTTTTCTTATTAGTTTTCATTTCCTTACACACCAGTGAACCAACTTCCCAGGAATTGAATTAGTTTCTAAATTCCGGCTGTAGCTTTACCTTTAGTAGCTAAACTTGGCATTCTACTATTCCACATGGCTACCTAGTAATCAAAGTTTCCTCATCTCCCACCCTTTCATCCTTTCCCTTCCCAAACCATGTTTCTGTGAGCCATGGCCATTTTAGCAAACCTATGACACCAACTGTATGGGAAAAATAAACTGGGTTTCTCTAGGTAGTAGGCCTTCCATACCCATAAGTTCTACATCCATGGATTCAACTAACTAGAGATTGAAAACATATTTTTAACAGGTCTTGTATGTGTGTTGAATATGTATGGACTTTTTCTTCTCATTATTTCCTAAACAATACAATATAACAATATTTATATAACATTTACATTGTGTTAGGTATTATCAGTAATCACAGAGAGTTTAAAGTACATGGAGGATATTTATAGACTGTAGACAATTACTATGCATTTTATATAAGAGAACATAACATCCAAGGATTTTGGTATCTGTGTCCTGGATATTGAGAGACAACTACAGTCTTAACACTTTGTTTCTGAAACTATATGGAGGTGGAAATGTGTGATACATCATAAAGGTCACAGCCATATAACAGAAAAGACAATTAACAAAAGAAAAGCGTAGCAAACCCGCCGTGGGGATGGGATGGAGCTGAAAGTTCCAACCCTCTTAATCACATAGTTGGTCCCCCTGGCAATGAGTTCCCAATTTTGTAGCAATGTAGGTGCTTTCCAAAAGTGACCTCATTAACACAAAATCAGATGTATTGAGAGGGGCTTGTTTTGAACAAGAAAGATGCTCCTTTCACCCTTAATGCTCTTATCATTCAGGAATTTCTAAAAGTTTTAGGAGTTCTGTGCCAGCAATAGCGTAAGGAACAAATATATATATTCCTTATTATAAGTTGCAGTGTCTCATAGCCATACTCCTTCTTCATCTCATGCTGCTCTTGCCCTTGTTCAGGAGGCTTTTGTTTCTCGTTTAAGCACAATAAGCTTATTTCTGCATCAGGACCTTTGCACTAATTGTTTCTTCTACCCGAAGAGTTCTCCTTCAGAACTTGCAATGACTGGCCCCTTCAGGACTTTATTCAGTCCAGATGTTATCTCCTCAGAGAAGCCTTCAAGATTACCCTGTCCAGATCTGCTCCTTCCTGGCAGCCTGGTCATATCACCCTCCATATCAGGGATCAAAAACTATTTCCTGTGAAGGGCAAGATATCTTTGTGGTCCATATGGTCTGTCATAACTACTCATTTCTGCTTTTGCAGCATAAAAGCTGCCCAGACAATATATAAACAACTGTGTATGACAGTGTGCCAATAAACCTGTATTTATGGAAACTCTTAAAAGAAAAAAATTACAATAAATCTAGTTTTGCCAATCAGGCAGCAGCCTGGATCTGCACCCTGGCTAGGTTTTATTTAAAGCCAGAAAAAAGGAAGTGACATACAGAAAATGGAAGTGAGGCACAGAGACAGTCTGATTGGTTATAGCTCTCATCCATATTATTTGAAGATGGTTTGAACAACAACTGGCTGCTTTTGATTGGCTGAGACTCAGCTACTTGTTACAAGGGTAGGATAAAAGGGTACAGTCCATTTGTACGTCCAGTTAGGTTATAGTTCACCATATGTATGGAGAAATCTTTAAGCCAAACTTAAAATGTAAAATGTAGGGGGGGCAGCTTTATGACATATGTAGAAATACTGACATTTCAATATTATAATTTTCACTTATCCATGAAATATTCTTTTGGTGTTTTTTTTTTTTGTCAACTATTTGAAAACGTGGAAACTGTTCTTAGCTTGCAGGCTACAAAAGCAGAATTCCACCCATAAGCTACTGTAGTTTGTTGATCCCTGCTCTATGCTATTATCCTGTTATATTTGCATCTTACTGATGTCTGAGATTGTCCTGTGCATTATTCATGTGTTTATTTTTTGTCTTTCCTACTTACTAGACTGTGAGCTCCATAAAGGCAGGTTTTTTGTCTTATTCATTGTATTACCTCTATCAACTAGAACAGTACCTGGAATATAGAGATGCTTTATGAATATCTGGCGATTGAATGAATACATTTATGTAGTCCACGAGTCACTACATCTAATAAAGACTTGCTCCCAAACCTCCCTGTGTGTCATAGCCTCAGTTCCACACCCTCTCGGGCTTCCCCTCTCTCTGGCGGTTACTGTAGTCATCTCTCAAGCCTTCCTGACCCTTGTCCCTCATTCCAGTCCTCACTCTAGTGTAGTACTTTGCTAAAACGTTTCTTTTATTATGGCATTTTTCTACAAATAGCAAAAAATTTAACACTGCTTTCTCATTCCCTACATTATAACGCTAGAATTCTTTGGGTGCATAAAGCCCTTCCCAGTCAGTTCCCGTGGTTTTCCAGCCTTGTCTTTGTGTCTTGTCAAAGATGAACTCTGCTCCCACAACCTCATCTCCTTATTAGGCCTGACCTCATCCCTGCTTCTTCTCACTTCTGACCTTTGCTCAGGCAGTACCCTAGAACCAGTTGGCTTTTCCCCTGGGAAGAGAGTGAACTCCCTTGTAATTCAAGGATAAGCTGCAATGAATGTGGGGAAACCAGGAAGAAGGGAGCTGTGCCAGAGGAAAGCTACAGAATAAGAAGTGAACAGAACTGGCTCAAGTGCTAATGAATTGAATTAAGAGTTATTATTTAAAAGTACTGCTTGGTCAATTTGTTCAGACCAGTGTTCTTCAAACTACCATGCAGACAAATATTTAAGGAGTCTTGTTAAAATAAGGATTCTGGCAGGAGATCTGGAGTTGGGTCCTTGAGATTCTATCATTTCAACAAGCTCCCAGGATGCCCAGACTTCTGGTTCTAAGGGAACTCTTTTGGTGTCAAGAATCTCACTAAATGCTTAGAAAAGGTACCTTGTCCATGTGGCTTAGATACAGGAGCAGGAGGCCATAGGCCAACCCCTTGGGGGCCTGCCTATATATCACGAGAACCCCACAAAACAGTCCTAGACTACAGTGAAGACATTTCTTGCATTCCAAATAACTTAAAAATATATTAAAGATTCAAGATTTTGATAAAGGAGGGGCAGCTGGAAACTGAGGACAGAGTTGAGTGACTGAAACTAAAGTAAAGGGAAGAAGTATCTTTAATCCTGAGTTGATGGCAGTGAAAACAGCTTTTGTGAAACGAACAGATTCTAATGTTGACTGTGCTCTGGCCTGTCAAGACACATACACATATGCATGCACACGCACAGTTTGTAGCCTGGGGTGCTGTACTTTTCCCTGATGCAGACAGATTATCTCTTCTGCAGAAGAGAGGGGACACCTCTTCTGGTCCAGCAAAACATACAGTTCAGCTTGTCTGGCTTGAGTACCAGTAAGGGTGCTTCACCCTGACCAAACAGGAATCATTTCTGGAGTGTGTATCTCCAAACAGAAGAGCAAGTAGGAACCAGTTTGTTGGCATAATAAACACAACTGTTTTAACGGTTTTTTTAATGATTAGTCTGGCTCTTGTATCTTTGGCTAATCCATAACTGACCTTTTCATGAAGTTATGTGTCATTTCCCTTGGCTTAACCTCATGAAATGATAAGGTGTCCTGACTAGTGCTTTTAATGCCACTTTCCTTATCACAGTAGTTTCCCTCTGCTTTTTTCACACAGGAACTCCTGCTGGGTGATTGAACTCTGATCTTGACATAGAAACATGGCCATGGTAAGTACCTTAGTGGAGTACCTCACCCTACCTGGTGCCAGCTGCCGATAGGTACAAGATATGTACTCAGGGACTGTTGGCTTAAAATCATTTGCTCAACAGAGGAGTCAGAGAAGGACATGAAAAGGCTGTTTCTTTTTCCTTTTCTTTGAGTATCATTTTATTTCTTTCAGGAGTGGTGAGTAATTTGACTCTGAAAATGAATTCAAAGGCAGAATCCTTTGAATCCTTTTAATATCATGAGAAGACAAAAACAAGTTATAGTTTTCTATCTGTAGAGCACTGCATATTCATTTTAGAACACTTAGACAAATAAAAAGGAAAAATTAAAAATCTTGCAGGTTCTACCACCAGAGACTATTGTTGACATTTTGGTATCACCCCATCACTTCTGGCTCATGGACAGGGGTGTTTCTTAGCAATACACTGTGATCCATGGTGATCGACTCCTCAGGACTCGGTTATCTGATCTTTGGAACAGGCATGGAATTGGATGCCTTTGAAGTTTGTGAAGTTTAGCACTGAGTTGGAAGCTGAGCCCGTTAGCTGCAACCCGTCTCTGCCTAAGGCTGGCCATCTGTGCTCCTCCTACCCAAAGAAGTTCTGAACAGGCGGGCAACTTGGATCCCTGGTCTTCTGAGAGGGAATAATAGAAGTAGAAGCTTATACCTGGGAAGGAACTGGAGATCCCACCAGCTCTAGATGCTTTCCTTTAGGAAAATAGGTTTGTAAACTATTCTTTTTTTTTTTTAATTTTAATTAATTTATTTATTTATTCTTAAATTC